AAGAAGAATCTACATCAGCCTCTTCTAAACAAGATGAAGCCCACATCCAAATTCAAACGTCAGAACAATTTGAATCAAAGAGAGAGAACACAGCAACAATTGCAGAAAATGATAATATTCCTAAGGAAGACAACCAGGGAAGCCTTGAAAAAGAGACTGGTCACGTTTTGAAAAAAGGAAAAAAGAACCTTTCGTCTTTGAGCGATAATGAACTGACGAAGAAAGTTAAGCGAAAAAAAAAGAAAAAAAGAATGAAAAGGAAACGTCAAGGAGGAGGTAGGTGAAATCAATCTGAATCACGTCTGAAACCAAATTGCTGGTTTGATTGCATTCCGATTAGGTGTCGTTGAACCAAAGCTAAAGTGATCACAACAGCCAATCAGATTTGAGGAAAGAAATCACGAAGAGCCAATCAGGACGCAAAATAAAATACAAATACCCAAAGCGCGGGAAAACGTGACTTGTTTTACATCTGATTGATTGAGCGCTTGGCACGAGTTTTCTGTATAATCACTTTCTTTGTGCGATTTGCAGTAATTGACGGTCAACACATCGATCATCTGGATCACAGCGAAATCTACAACTCAGTGAATGCTAGTCAGTCAAGTGCAGAAGAAATGGAAGAACAGAAACAGCAAAACACTCATCAGGACGAGTTTATTCTGAAGCATCTCTTTAAGAAATCAGGTCTGGATGTAGTCTTGTTTTTACTTATCTTGATGGTTGAGATGACAATTTTTTAAGGTCAAAACTGGGTACATAATAACTAGGTAAGCACCTATTTTCGTGAAAATTGTTGCCAGAGAACAGGACGTCGCTCTGACATTCGGCGATACTGGCTGGTGCTCATCCCATTGGGCGAGTTATTCTCGGAAGGTTGTCGGATGCTTTTACGAAGGTTTGCCGAATCCACAGATAATGCAGTAGAAATTCAGTTTGGGTTTATCTTGCTATTTCTTTTCAAAGGACAACTTTGTCAAAATTTGGTCTTAAATTAAAATGTGAAATTTCTTTACACCGTAAGGGAAGGAAGAGAAATCAATAGTTTTTGGTTTTATTACATGTAGAGTTTGGATAATGAATTCATAGGAGATAGATACGGGTTCGGCACAAGGAGTGAACCTCTCTCCCTTTAGGAGTTTAATTGATGATTGGTGGGGAACTGTCACCAATAGAAATGCCATGGAGTTGCCTTTTCTGGACTAGCAGGGTTAAGGTAACCCAGGGTTAGTGTTAATCTAAATTTCAGATGTGAAAGCTTAAAGAGAAAATTTAATGGAATTATTTTTGTGTAGAATTGATTTTTGGATGCTCTTAAAAGAATAGAGAAATTTATCCTAAGAAGGCTTTTGAACGAGGGAATAAAGAAACCTGGATTAAATTTAACCTTGGGTTAGCGCTTATCGGCCTACGGACAACTAGGCCCAAGGAGATTAACTTTATGCAACGGAATACGAAATGAGTCTGGCGAAATAGGCTCCATTATAGACATCGCCTGTTTTACCCATTTTAATAGGTGTACATAGTGCGTTGAAGCATGACGTCATCATGGAGGCCAGCAACCCGGATTACGCACTGATTGAAACAGAGGCAAACCGTGTGGCAGAGCATGCTGTGAAAGCGCTGAAACGATCACGCCAGTTATGTCTAAGTGCGAACAGAGGAGTTCCTACATGGACGGGCGTGTCAGGTTCATCTGGTTTGAGTGAATCAGCCGCAAAGAGGTATTGTCGTTTGAGGTCTGCTTGAGATAAACATATCTTACCAGTAGCAAGTAAACGTTACGACGTAATGTGTTTCTCAGATAGAGTAGAAAAATTTGTCACTTAAGGTATGGGTGGGAAATGAGTGCAATTGATGGAAAGTACGTGAAAATAAATAATCAGTGGCAAGCATGAATGGGGCTTCGTCGTGAAGCGCGCGGTTTGCGAGCTCCGCTACAAGTGGCGCGAAAATGTCAAATGGAGCCAAACGCGGAAATTTTATTTCTAACTATGTTGCTGGTTTTTTTAGGTTGTTGAAGTTAAAACTATACTTACAAGTAAATTATTTTTTGTTTGGATTAGGCCACGGTTTGGACAGAAGAAGAAAGTCGGTTCAGAAGAAGTTGCAAAAGTGAGAATTAGACTTTAAAAATTTAAACACACGCATACACACTCTCTGTCAGTTTAACTAGAAGAGTAAAGATTTTGATTAGCGAAATTTCACTTTCCTATTTATCGCTTTCCATTCGTTTCCTGGTGTTAATCGCATCAGCACCTTTCTGACTCCAGGCGAATTATGATTAAGCTTCTGATACTTATTTTTTTTGTGGTTAACAGTCCTCCTCCACTTTGGAAGTCAAGCCTCACTTCAGTGGCGACCAAATGGGCATGAGCAGTTCGTCTGCAGAAGGCACAGACCCAGTCCACTCTAGTCAACTGCTAGCGAAGATGAGGGCTAGAAACAACATTTTGCCTAGCAATGAGACAGGGCATGGAAACGAGAATGACGACTTAATTCTCCAGATAAGGACTTTCATTGCGTCACAAGGAACAACGATGGGACGAGCCACAACTCAGGAAATCTTAGACGAGTTTCGTTCTAAACTCCCATCTAATGAAACTACCTTGTTTCGCTCTATGTTGCGACAGATTTGTACTTTTACAAGGGATTCGTCATCTGGGAAAGGCATCTGGATTTTAAACGAAGAGTTTAGATGAAGTACCAGTTTCTCACAACTAGGGTAGAAATCTCCTATGCTCTCCAAAGTAATGGAAATGGTTGCTTGCAGTCGTATAAGTAGCTGGTTAAAAAAAATGGTGATCTTCAAAATTCTTTAATCTTTATAGGCATTGAAAAATTTATCAGGCTACAATATAAAATGAATAACTTTATATCTATGCTTTAAAACGACGTAATCTTAACACCTTCTACATTTTATATATAACCAAACTAGTCAGCAACTTAGACCCGGTTTTCCATGAATGCTGTGCATTTAGTCTATAAATTGAGTTGAAGACTTAGCGATTCGGAGATATATAGTTCGCGGAAAAGAAACAATCAGTTTGTTTACAGAGCGATTAAGAGATTAAGCTTGACGCGAACGTTAAGAAAAATTGAACTTCTTGCCTTCTACTTTTAATCCTTTTGATACTAAGATGATGTATGTCCATTGACTATGGAGAATAATTTTTTTTAGTGCATTTCCACTGGCTCGATTTAAGAATTACAGACAAAGGTGAGACACGACAGAGGTCAATTTTGCTTTTTGCCGTTCCTGTAAACGTAATGCTAATTAACAGCTTACGAACATTTAAGATTTTAGTAGGTTCGCAAAAACTGCGCCCAAAAATAGCCATGAAATTGGCAGCTGAAGAAGAACGTCTGTGATGACAGTCTGTTGAAATTTCAAAATAACGAAAGTCACGGAAATTTGCAAGATCTTCAACGAAGATGAAAAAAAAAATAATGAAATAAAAAAACAAAATAAACATTAGGTTAACTGGCCTGAAGATGTCGGTTAATATGTTGTGAAATCTTTAAAAGTAAAACAAATTACACTATAGTTACGTTAGTTTTGTGTAGCTTTTGTTCGGCATCCTGGCAAACGAAGACAATTAAATACTGAAATTATCATAACTAAATTAAAATATTGTGGATTAGAATTATATATCCGATCTTTCACTTGATAATTTTCCCTTTCAACCTATTTCTTGATAGTAAAATTGCTTAAATCTTAAGTATTTCCCAACACTGATCAATTTAGTTTCGGCAGATAGCTTAGATTGTTTAGTTACTTGTTAAAATCGTAGTTACTAACCCGCGTTAGACTAGTTATGGCTATCTGCAGGTCAGCCAATGAACTATTGATAGTTTGAAAGTGTAAATAGAAGGTTTGTGTTCCTTTGAAGTGAGGTTCATGTAAAAAATATCTACCTAAGGTAGGAAAATACAAACCGTAACCGAGAGAAATTCCAAGGGATTGGCTGAGCTTTATGGTACCCTCGCTTATGGACTTTTTTACTTTTTTAACGATAAGGAAACTAGTACAGTTGAGAGCATAGCTTCCCGGTGTTTTCGTCAATTAAGATGATGATCGCGAGCAATAAGATCAGACTCCTTGTGAAAATAAACTCAGTGTATAAGAAAAAAGAAGAACAGGAAGTTGAAGATGTAAACGTTTGTTGTCAGCCACTTTAAGTTTGCGTTCTAAACGCGCTACAAACAAACAAACAGCTATTTGTAGACCGAGGTAAAAATCATGAAGCTAGGTGATCATTCAAATAAAAGAGTTTTATGTTTTCCATTGTTATAATAAACTGAGTTTCGTTTCGAAAAAGAGACCTTGATCTTCACATGTCAACATGATAAATGTGGTTGTCGTTTGGGTGTGCACGTGCATATGACAACTCTTCCTTACAATATATCTCCATCACCCGTTACAGATACCAACAGCTTTATACACAGAGGCCAATAGAGAGTGAGGGTCCAGAGGGTGCAGACACCCCCCTTCCCTCCCCTCCCTCAACCACATACACTCGTACACTCGTACTTCTTTAGGTTGTTTTTAACTACTGGTCTAACACTAGAATTCGTGCAACGACAGTACAACAGATGTTAATTTCCACTAATTGACCAGTTCTTTTTTGTTGTTTTTCATCTGTAATATATCTCAGTGGGTGCGAAT